CGTCAGGCTGTATCCAAGGAAGCAGCAAAGGAGACCACAGAATGAGACCTCTTCAGCCATCCACTACCTTTCTCATGAACCACATTTCTTCAGTGTTCAAGGGTTTCAGATCAAAACCTTTCAGTTCCGGCTTACCTTAGGAAAGAGGAAGGAAGTGCTGAGTTGCCATGGAATAATGTGGGTCTACCCGCTGTGGTCAGTGAGGGAATACATGGGCTCCTCTTTTGTGAGGGGTAGCTCCATTGTCTCAACATGCCACCATCAGTGTGTGCATGCGTGCGTGCATGTCTGTGTGAGGCATGTCAAGGAATTCACAAAAGCTGAAGATGAATCTTTGGCTCCAATGAGCCAATAGTTGGGAAGATGAAGGATAGGCCGGATCAAGTGCAATTATATGTGCCTGGAAGAGTTCATGTGGGCAGGAGGTCTACCTTAAATAAAAGGCTCTCTGGAAGATCCTTGGCTGTCTTGGTGGGGGGCTGATGGGGGGAAGGGGCCCCTGGGGCAGAGCTGAAAGGACCCCATCCACTTTCAGCCTTGCCGACTCATTGAAATCTGACTCTGAGATGCAGGGGGAAAAATATTCTAGCAAGGCAATATGGCTAGAAGCCCTGCACAGATGATCAGGTGCTCCGCATCTGATCCACTGCAGAACTCTGAGGTCCCCTATGATATCCAGAACACACTTGGGCAGTTCTAGCTTCTTTGACAAATACCTTGAGCTTCCAACAGACGGTTGACCTTCACTTTTAGCTCTTTCCGCAGTTTGGCTATTTCTTCATCCAGGAGTTCCAGATCTGGGGGGCGGGGGGAACAAGTCATGAGAAGTCATTTAAGGTGTTTTAAAACACTGGTCCGTTTATTGCAAGGGATAAGATGTATGGTGGGGGAAGTAAAGTAGGCCTTTGGTCTAGATGGGCGGGATAAAAATCCAATAAAATAAATAAATAAATAAATAAATAAATAAATAAATAAATAAATAAAATCTTGCATGTCTGCAATTTAAGCATCATTCCTTCATGTTCTTTGAAGAGCTGCGTTGCTACATTGGTTGACACCCATAAGCCCTCACAGCTGGGGTGAATTAGCTTCTAGATCCCATTTCCTTTCCATTATTTGTGGGCTATGAAGTTGCATGCTCCAAAGGTTTTAGGAACTGCACTGACCAATTAGATCTGGAAAGCAGGGAGTGTCTGGAGGCTGCAGCCAAAGATCCACTCAAGAGAGTGGACAGGTTGGTTGTCCGGGTGGAATGAGAGAGGTGTAATAAAACGTCAGTGGCTCTTTGCCCAGAGTGGCCTGACAGAGCATCACTGTTTCTGCACACAGGTAACCGGCCAGGTTTTGCACACAGTGCAGGAGAGTCAGGGTAGAACTCTTTGCTCCTCTCTCAACTCAAGAGTTCTGCCATTAGATGATTTGCCAAGAATAATCTACAGTTTATTTGTAATTTTTCTATCCACAGTATTTTCTCTAATAGTTAAAGGAGATCAGAATTCTTTTCTTAAGTACCCATGCGTGTGCGCATGCATACACACCTACATAGATTTGTAAAAGCACCCTGGCCTCCTGCTTAATCCAACATCAGGGGAGCAGAAGGCTTGGTCCTTTTATTGCAGCTGCACCTTGCAAGACCTCCCTTATTCTGTTCTGGCAGGTAAAAGAATTGAATCATTCCTGGATTTTTGCCTGCTTGCATTGCTGCCTACTTTCTAGTTTTCTCAAGGAGGAGACCCTCCCCCTTTCTCTCCTGAAATAATTCCTGCTTTTCTTTCAGACAATGTCACCTTGCAGATTGATGGGGTGCTCTATTTACGCATCATGGACCCCTACAAGGTATGGCCTGGTCAGGTGGGGGAGGAGGAAGGCTGGGAGCAGGTCTTGGGCTTACGGGGCCAAGCTTGTTAGGGCCCCCCCTGAAGCACATGAAAGGAAGCCAAGGCTTCTAGTTCATTATTGTAGCCCTAGAAATTAACTCGGGGAGTTGGGGGAGGCCGTGGGTGAGAGAGCAGCCAAGGCTTTCCTGCTTCAGCCGCTGAGCTCTGTCGGTGAGGGCAGCAGGTTGGGGAGGGATTTTCACTTTTGGATGCCTGCAATGAGAGCCACGGCCCCTGGTTCCAGGACGTGAGGTGAGTGTTCCCAGGGCTGCTTGCTCACGGGCGTAACCCATTGGTCCTTGCTGTCTTGCCTACGCCTCTGTTCCTTCTCCAGGCGAGTTATGGAGTGGAGGACCCAGAGTATGCGGTGACCCAGCTTGCTCAGACCACCATGCGATCCGAGTTGGGCAAGCTCTCCCTTGATAAAGTTTTCCGGGTGAGTCGCAGGAAACAGTAGGGGTGTGCCTGGTGTCCCTAAGGGGGGGGGGAGGAAGGTGCCGGGGGGGGGCTAATGCTGCCATGAGATGACTGAGAGGGCTCCCGTTGCCCTGTGGGTGAGTTTCAGTGGAAGAAGCTTGCAGGGGACGGCTTAGGGGAGCCAGGAACCAAGGCATCTCCCGGGAGGAATGACACATCTGCAGCCAGAGAACTGCCTCTGCCCCTCAGCCATCCTGCCAGAGCCCTCTTTGACAGGTGGGCTGTGTGGTGGGCAGAGCCCTCGGCATGAGCAACGGAGAGGAGGTCTGCCTAGGCAGCCAGATTATGTTGGAGAAAGACAAGGCCCAGAGAGGCGCCAGCGTGCAGCGGTAGAGACCTACTCCGTAGATAAAGAGGTGCCACAGCAGATAACTCTGAAAATGTATTTTGTCAACAAAAGCAGGGCGCAGGCAACCGGTGAACAGAGTGAATGTGGCTGCATGCTTTGTTAACAGGGTAGGGCAAACTGGTGTAGAAATGGGTTGCAATGGGCTTGTCGGCCCAAAAGCCTTCCCTGGGAATTGGGAGCAGTGGCTTTTGGGAAGGCTGGATGGCCTCCTGAGCCGAGCTGAACATCCTGTTTGTGCTTTTTTGGGTCCTGACTGCTCTCTGACCCTGCCCTTCCCTGCCCAGGAGCGGGAGAGCCTCAACGCCAGCATTGTGGATGCCATCAACCAGGCCTCCGACTACTGGGGCATCCGGTGCCTGCGCTATGAGATCAAGGACATCCATGTGCCGCCTCGCGTGAAGGAGTCCATGCAGATGCAGGTCAGGCGGCCCTTAGGAGTGGAACGACCTTGCTTGGAGTTAAAGCGCTCTGGGCGGGAGGGTTCTGAGTGGCGCAGGGGGAGGGACTCCCCCCTTTTGGCTTTCTGGCTTGGTCCTCTCTCTCTGAGCTGCCTGGGCAGTGGCCACAGTTGAAGCACGTCCACTTCTGTTTCAGGAGCTCCCCCGGTCCTGGCGGGAGAGGTGAGCTCTGCTTTTGTCTTCAGCCAGGCCTCGGTGGAGGACGGTGGCTCAGCAGGGGCCTCTTCGCCACAGAGTCCGGATGTCGACACTTTGGCTTACACAGGGCAAGGGGAGCCTGTCCTCACAGCTTTTTTTACTGTGTTCCTGTGACACTGTTCATGACACACCACAGTGGGCTCTGTTCCCACATCTTGTGGTTGAGGCTCGTGGGGAGAGGGAGGGAGGGAGGGAGGGCTTCTGTTCAACTGTGGGGAGGTCCCCCCACCCAAACCCCGTTTTCACTTGCAGGTGGAGGCAGAGCGGCGCAAGCGAGCGACGGTGCTCGAGTCAGAGGGGACACGGGAGTCTGCCATCAATGTGGCCGAGGGGCGGAAGCAGGCCCAGATTCTGGCCTCTGAGGGGGAGAAGATGGAGCAGATTAACCAAGCCGCTGGTAAAAGGAGGGGCTGCAATGCAGGGTGGGAGGCATGTGGGTGCCACGTGGCTTTGCAGAGAGGCGGGCAAATGGATCCATGCCAGGAAGCGGCCGAGAGCTTGGAGTGGGCTCTTCAGGTTGCCCTCTTTCCTGCCTAGGCTTCCTCCGTAGGTGGGAGTTGGAGGCCAGGGTGGGAGGTGGCTCAGCCTCCCACGTCACAGGTTCGGTGCCACGAGCAAAGTGGCCGTGGGGGCCCTTGTGTGCCTGACGGCTTTTTTGCTTCTTTTGCAGGGGAGGCCAGCGCCATCCTGGTGAGAGCTCAGGCCAAAGCGGACGCGATCCGGCTGCTGGCTGCCGCTCTGGCACAGCAGGTGATTGGGGCGGGGAGGAGCTGGGGAGGGGCCCCTTGGGCAAGGGCAGGCCCGGCCCCGGCTTCCCTGAACCAAGGGAGAGAAATTTCTGGCCGGCATTGAACTTTGGGAGGGCTAGAAGCCTCCTTCGGGCTGCGTTTCTCTCTGGGAGGGCAGCAGACAAGCTGTGTAAAAACAGTCAAGCCTAGAAGGGCCCCCTCTTTGGCCCCTTAGTGCCCGGCTTCTTCCATGCTTATGGAGCACAGTGAGCTGGAAAAGGGAGGGATGGCCTATCTGTGGGGCTCCCCAGGTCCAGGTTCATGTGGAGAAGCCCCGCGGAGAAGGGAGGCGGCCTTCTTCCGACTTGCTGCTCTCGGCTGGTAGGGGAGTCTGGCATTCCTTCTCCCTACTGTCACGTTACCCAGGTTGTCTCTCTTATGAGCGTTCTCTCACACCTCTGGCACCTGCAGCCTCAGCCCAACCATCTCCTCCTCTGTGCTCCTCTGCTAAACCCAAAGCCATGGTCCCTGAACCTCTCCTAAGTATTGGGGGTTGCTCTTATAGCAGTGCCCCTCCCTCCCTCCAGCCAGCCAGTGCCCCCTCTTCCTTTCAGGACTTTCTCTCTGGTTTGGCCGTTGAGTGAAAACTCTCGGCTGCTCCTCTTCTTCCTGGCTGCGCGTCGCCCATCTAGATTGGGCCGTGATACTCAACAGTTCTTGGCTCCTAATGTGTTTCTTAAAGTTACAGTTAAAATAATGACAGTTTTATCCAGAAACAAAAGTAATTTATTTGGGATGAACAGGTAAATGGGAATAAGGGAAGGCTAATTTATGAAATCGTAAATCTGGGGTGAAAGACAATTGTGATGTACAAGTTCTTCTGCAGTGTTCACACGCAGCTCCTCTCCAGCACCCCAGCTGAAACACAGCTCTTTCCACAGCTGTCACACAACACACTTTCTCAGCAACGTCTCTCCCTTGACCCTCTGGCAGGTGGACTCTCTGCCTGCCCCCTACGTCCCACCCGCCCCCCTCCAGACACGTTCTGCCCCGAGGGCTCCTAACCCTGCAATGGCTCATCCTCCCAACCATCCTGGCACCCACCTGGTGCAGATTTACCAGTCAGGCATCTGCAGCTAAAACATGTTTTGCCCATGAGGAGAGTTTCCCTTGGGATCTTACTCCCTGGGTGGTGGAGGCAAAGGGGCTCGATCCCCCGGGGAAGAGGCGCCTCCCTCTCAAGTGTAGGGGTCTGGAGAAGGCGGCAGGAGGGCCGAGCCGTGGGCTGCTCGAGCTCACAGGCCTTCTGTGTCTTCCCCCCGCCCTTTTCTTTTCTGCTCCCAGAACGGCCCCTCAGCAGCGTCCCTGTCTGTGGCGGAGCAGTACGTGAGCGCCTTCTCCAAGCTGGCCAAGGAGTCCAACACCCTCATCCTGCCGTCCAGCACAGGCGACGTGTCCAGCATGGTGGCCCAGGTCAGTTTGGAAGGGAGGCTGCCTACCTGGTCGGCGGCCTCCCTCGGGCCCTGTGGGGAGTCGAGAGGCCACCCGACCGCAGGAGTGTGGACGCTGGGGAGTTTCACCCGGCCGGGAGGGAGACAGGAGGGAAAGGCGAGGCAGCTTGAAGGCAAGAGGGTTGCTGGCTAGGTGGTGGCAAATTCTCCTCTCCTCTCTGGCCAACGGAGCGCTTCCTTGTGGGGCCGGCCTCTTGACACGAATCTCCTCCTCTTTCTCTCTAGGCCATGGGGATCTACAGCTCCCTGAGCAAGCCACGGCCGGCACAGGACACGGGAGCCACCGCTGCCCCGTCTCTCCAGCCACACGACCCCCCAAGCACAGAATACCCAGAGGCAGCAGAACACTCGAGTGCCAGCTAACAGAGAAGCCTGCAGGCGTGGGATCCGGCCCGCTCCCACCTCCTGTGTGGGAGCGGACCCTGCCGTCCCTGTCCTGGACTCTAGCCCTCCCCCTCATGTTGGTTTATTTTCTAAAATGGATTTAATCGTGTCATAAAAGGAGATGGCTTAAGCATGGCCTACTAGGTTCTTACGCTGTTTCTGCAAGTGGGGGAGCAGTTCTAAACTGCAACAGGGCTCTGAGCGGCAAGAGAAGAATCTGAGACTTTGGGGAACCTGGGGGGCGGGAGGGAGCAGAACCTGTCCAGGAGCAAAGGGAAGCCTCTGGCTAAACCTTCCAGGGGTGGGGAGGGGGCAGTGTGCTCCCCACGTGGGCGGGAGGCCGTTCTGCCGCTGGAGGCTTGTGGCCGCTTGCTCAGGCAGACTTCTGCCGCTTGTTTCCTGCACATGCTGGTTTAGGCCTCTGCACTGACCCTTCTCCAGCTCCACCGGACAGGGAGACGAGACAACAGCCGCCTCTTTCAGGAACCTTGGAGGAGAGTTGGCTGAACCCGATTTCCTTTCTGGCCCTTCTGGCTGGCAGTCAAGGATGCTGTCGAAAACCTAGGAAGACCCGGAAGGTTTTTGGGTTGTCTTAGCTTTTCTTGTTCCTCCTGCAGCTTTCCTCGCTTTGGATTTACTTCTTCTTGAGTACAATGTGGCGCGCAGGGGAAGAGGAGCAGAGGCCTCCCAAGTTCCTATGTGTTAGTCCTGAGCCGTGTCAGTCGGTGTGCAACAGCGGGGCGAAAGGGAGGGAGCAACTGGCGAGGGTGGGGTGATCCAGACCCCTATCACAGGGGGAAGCTGCCCCGTGAATCCCTGTCGGCCTCACCTTAGAGGACGGGAAGGGACGCTCCCCTGGCCCTCGTGTTCTGTGCCGGGAAGGGTCGCTGCGTCTCCAGCAGGATTTTGCTCCAGGGAGCTCCCGGTGCCCAGCCATAGCGGAGGATCCTGTGGGGCGCTAGGAAGGGCAGAGCCCACCGGTACAAGCCTCCTGGATCCTCCCCTCTGTGCGGACGAAGAGGGAGCGTGACAGCCGGCCCTGGCGGCTCCGGATTCAAATGTGAAGCAAAAGTGCTGTCGTCCCCCTGCGTGACACAGAGGGGGCTGGGGGGGGCGTGATGGCTGGTCTCTCTTGTGTTGGCAGTAGGACAGCCCCGACTCTCTCGCCCGCCCTCCTGTGCTTTGCCAGGGTCCTGGGGGGGCTGAGCCTTCTCGGGGGGCTTGCGCAGTGCCTCTTACCTCCCACAGCCCAGGCCAGCCTTGCAGGAGCGCCGCTGCCAGGAGGCAAGAAGGGTCCCCAGCAAACGTGTCTCCGAACAAGCTTTTAGCAGGAAACGGAGGTCAAGCCCAGGACAGGATGGAGGGGTGGGGTGGGTTGGTCCTGGCGCAAGAGGGAGGAGAGGAAAAGGTGAAGAAGGCGGCAAGCAAGGGGACCCAGGGCATGGGGAAGGCGCTTCCCGTGTGGAGGAAATGCTGCAACCCACGGGGGTCCGTGACGGGGGGGGGAGGCACCCCCTTCCTGGGCTGGAGCAGGAGCCGCTCCGGAGTTGAGGGCTGGGACCTTCCGGCTGTCCTTTGTCCACAGCGGACGCGCCCCAGGGCCACCCATGAGCTTTGCCCAATACGGGGCAACATTGAGAGTGAGGGGCATGGGGCATCCAGTCCTCCAGGGCACCTTTGGGAGGGAGAGGAGGCTGGCAGGTGTGTGCGTGTGTGTGTCTGCCTCTTCTTCTCCCCACTTGCAAAAGGC